AGAGAGAGAGAGAGAGAGAGAGAGAGAGAGAGAGAGAGAGAGTCATGGACAAGAAATCGAATAAAATGTTGGCAAAATTTCCGCAAAAACTGCCAAAGAAGCTAAGGCATTACACAACAAGGGAAAATTCAAAGGAATTGGATCACGGATTCACAAACCAATTGCACCAGTGATGTTGGATGTCGTCAAGACCATCACATTTGGCCGCTTCTTCAACCCATCCAACTGAGTCAGGACAGCATTCACTACCTGCAGCAACACATATTGAATATGACCGGACAAAGAACATCTCAATCAAGTCTTGAACCATTCTCTGCTTGACCCATAACCCATTGGACCACAGGTTAAACGTAGGTTGAGCAGAGACAGTGGTTAACCTTCTGAGCTGTAGGTGCCTTTCCAATGAACCACAGAGGTTGAACACTGGAAATAAGTGGTCAGACAGCTATCTCCTCCTCCTTCTTCTTCTCCTTCTCCTTCTTCGTCTTCTTCCACTTCTTCTCCTTCTCCTTCTTCTTCTCCTTCCTCCTCTTCCTCCTCTTCTTCCTTTGTCTTCTTCACCTTCTTCTCCTTCTTCTCCACTCTTCTCCTCCTCTTCCTCCTTGTTCTAGTTGTTGTTGTTCTACTACTCCAGGCACGCAGCAAATAACCAAGACATGAGATGAAGGAAGAAACAAAGGTTGGTTCACCACCAGTCCCACAACCATGCTCTCTCATAAACATCAACATACCAGCAATCAAGCACAGGCAACAGACAGCATCGATACACTTACAGAGTAAGCAAGAACGGTTGGAGGAAACTGAGCAGACACGTAACTGTAAGACACTTGAGATGTGTGTATGTGTTGTCATATTCGCTATACACAACTCCAGATTGTGCGAGACTGTTTCGTTGAACTTTCACCGACTCATCAGGACAGTGAACCCCGACAGTCTGCCCAGCATGCATTTGACTGATGGATAAGGACTCACCGTCACCCAAAGTTAGCAATGCCCCTACATGGGCAGACGATGACAGCGGGGATTGATCCAAAGCAAGGGTGTTTAGACGCTGCAGGATTTGATCTGCAAAAGCTCGCCCTGGTGGTGATAACCTATCAGTACAGCGCTCTGTAGGTGGTTCATATGGTAGTCTATTTTCCCCCTCAGGCTACTGCATCTATCCTTCGTCTGGCAAGGAAGAAGGAATCCATCTGCCGCTGCAGTAGGTGTATGCCCAACACCACATTTGGGACATGCTAGGAGAGGCTGTGGTGGATGATGGCACCAGGGATGTGTGTGTGTGTGTGTGTGTGTGTGTGTGTGTGTGTGTGTGTGTGTGTGTGTGTGTGTGTGTGAGAGAGAGAGAGAGAGAGAGAGAGAGNGAGAGAGAGAGAGAGAGAGAGAGAGAGAGAGAGAGAGAGAGAGAGAGAGAGAGAGAGAGAGAGAGAGAGAGAGAGTTTGTAGACAAACTTACCCGAATAGAGTCAGATGGCTCTGACCCAGACAAAGCTGCCTGTCTTGCAGAAGTGAGACTCTCTACCTCATCTGTGGTTAATGCATCCATGACAACGGAACAATTATTCGGCAGAATGAAGTAACTTCTTAGTGAGTTCTTACTACTTAGGTATATCAGATATTCCTCAGATAAACTTGTAAAGCAAATTTCTTTGAAACTGGATCTTAAGGACTGAAACAGTAACACTCTTAGAACAGCAAGGCTTCCAAATAAAAAAAAGCAATGATCTCCGAAGCAAAGACTTCTTCTAGTCACTGCAGAAAAGCTCTCTCCGGAAAAAGCAGGGTCGTCAGGCACCCGAAAGTTCTTTTCAACTCAGCTTAAAAAAGAAGAGCAATGGAAAGACAGGAACTGGGCTGATGTTCCCCGCAGGAGAGTAGAGTTTTTTTTTTTTTTTTTTTTTTTTTGAACCACCCGCCCCTTCTATTCTGGGGGCCAACAGTCTGGTTGCTTATCACCGGCAAGCAGAGTACAAGATCGACTTCAGGAGCAAGAGAAAGGAGATAAGACCTGATACTCCCGCAGCCGGAGCCACTGTGGGAGGGGCTGGAGGGGGGCTACGCCATGGGAGCCCTCCGCTACCCCTGCCCCGGGGCACACATCCCGGTAAACTATTATCTAAAAATCTATGCTCTACAAGATATAGAAGTGCCCTGATGTCACAACCTGTTTTGAGCCTGCGACCAGTTGGGCCTCGAAAGGGGTTCGTGGAAAAGAACGCTTTGAACTGCACCCAGCCCACATATTACTGCACCCACCTCACAGCCCACATAGTACCACACCCACCCCACAGCCCACATAGTACCACACCCAGCCCACAGCCCACAAAGTACCACACCCACCCCACAGCCCACATAGTACCGCACCCAGGGTATATAGTACTGCATCCAACCACATACCACTGTACCCAGCCCACATAGTGCTGCACCCAGACCAGATAGTATCGTACACTCTCACATAGTACCACACCCAGCCCACACTAGCAACACACATGACCCACATAGTACCCCATGCTGCCCATACACAGTACCGCCTAGCGAATGTAGTGTCCAACACCCATAGGACCCAGCTCATAGCACCCAGACCATTGCACCCAGCACATAGCACCCAAGACCCAAAGCACCCAGCTCACATAGTAGCACCCAACACACAAAGTAGCCAGAGCAACGTTTGGCCTTCCACTATCTCCCTGCTTCTGTGGCCCCTGTGCCAACTGTGTTCGCCACAGGCCGAGCCGTGTCCAGCTAGCTTCTTGATTTCTAAGAAAGTTATGGACTCGAAAGGAAAAGCAATGCAAAGACCGAGAGATCGAGGCCTGAAGCTCCCACATGTACCATTGAGATGAAGGCTGCTACTTCACCCGAACAGAATGCATGGTCATTATATCTGCATTTCGGCCAACCATCAATCTAGGCACATCTATAGTAACCATATGTTCTATTCGAGTTAGGACGGTAGTCAGTACTCAACATTCGAAGCCTGCAGACATTGTTTGCATGGCTACATGTAGTACCCAGCCTTATTTTTGTCCTTTTGCAGCAAAGGGGAACATAAAAAAAAAATGTAGAACCCAGTCCACCAGTATTCGTGATTGTTGCTGATTGGTACATGGTCTTTCTCTCTCCTCTCTCCTCTCTCCTCTCTCCTCTCTCCTCTCTCTTCTCTCCTCTCTCTCTCCTCTCTCCTCTTTCCACTGTCCATTCTGCTATATGCTTGTTTCCAGCGTCCCAGAGCAAAGTTGGTGGAAAGACACTTGGGGCCAACATAAAACAAGCATGGCTCTCTCCTTGTAACACAGTTTTGAAGTGGGATCAGATTTCCTCCTTTTCATTTATGGAGTTTGGACATGCTTGTTTGAGAGAATCCCAATTGGTGGTGATCGGAGATCGTCGACGGAGAGGCAAAATTACCCAGTGCCGCGTTGCCTTATGCAGCATTGGTCCATCCATTTGGTATTGCACCACCATACCTATAAGGATAATGACTAGGCTCTCCCCGTCCTCAACAAGCTCGTGTATTTTATAGAACAGCTTCGTTACCTGCATGAATGAGCCACAGAAGGAAAAGGCGCATTGCAAAACTCCAGTTCTGTAAATTACAGGTGAAATACTCATGCGCAACTAAGTAACCAATCCACACACACACACACTCACATACAAAAAAAAAAAAAAAAGGAGAGCAATTGAAAGTGAGAGCTTGATGGATGAACCATCTGCATAGGACATAAAAACTTCGACACTTTCGAAAGTTCATTCCAATCGTTTCTTACCCACCTCATTTACTATTTTTTGTCTTCTCCACCTCTTTTTTGGGGGTGGGAGGATGAGGGGGGTGGGATGCGGGGTTGGTGAGGGCACTGCCAGCGGGGTGCGCAAGAGTTGTCCCCATACCCGAATTATTTCAAGCTGCCAGTCACTATAATGCCTTTTGTACCTTTCTGAAAGACCAATGCTGCTAAGGATGATTATTTTTTTCGCTCCCCGAACTGTTTGAAGCAGCCCTGCATTCCACCTCTTGATGTTACCGACGGGTGCATATATGTACATTCCACCGCCAACATACAACAAAAAACAACGATGGCAACAGTGACAACGGTGACAACGACGATGACGACGACTAAAACAATGACAAAAACAGGAGCAAGAGCAGCACCAGAAACCAACCCAACAACTACTACAACAATCAACACCAAAACAACAACAACAAAACAACCACAACTACCACCTAACCTACCAGCACAACAATCACAACTCCGACAACGATCTCCACAAGTGATCCCAGTCACCACAAAAATCATCACAATTAGGGTTGACATCACCAATTACCGTAACTACACTAGCGACATCCATGCACAAAGAGAGAGAGAGAGAGAGAGAGAGAGAGAGAGAGAGAGAGAGAGAGAGAGAGAGAGAGAGAGAG